TTATGAAATGCCCATTTTGACGTCAGGTTTCGACATCCCCGTTAAAGTTTTTTTTTTACATCTGTACACCCTACCAAACATAATTTGGGAACGCCGCACCATACCCATCCCCCGCCCTGGATCCGTCACTGCTTCGTGGTACTCCGTAGATTGTGTATCTGTACAAGAAAGGTCATGATGCCCGAAAATGAAGGCTGTTAATGCGCTTCGTAAAAAGGACGGACCATAACTTCGTCAGGTTTATAGGTATAGCAACTGCAGTGCTCTCGGATTTCGGTCCCTGTTTGAATTCAAGGTGTTTGGCTCTTGAACTGTCCTTGTCCTATGTCCTTCATGCATGTAGCTCTCTTTAAAATAATTGTCTTTGGTGCCCCAAAAGGAAGGTTTGGTGCCACCCAGCCGAAGTGGACAATGCAGGATTTCGTCAGGGTCGGAGGCACAATATTGTTGGGTCCCTGGAACTTGGTGCCCCCTGAGAATTAAGGTTTATGGCTCGTTGTGGTCATAGGCGTAATAACGTTTCAAAAAGTGTGGGTGGGGAAGCAAGCCCAGAGTGTACCTCAGCAATTTTTCAGGAAAACGAGTCCCAATGATCGGGGGGGGGGGGGGGTTAGGCATGGAGGTTGTTATCGCTCTCTGTCCACATGGCATGGCTGCTATGCTAAGTATGCATCTAGAGCTGTTTCTCACTGGTGCACAATCTTGCCTATTCGACTCATCTGTCATTTGGCAAATAAGGCTTCTTCCAGCTTCCCAAGATTATTTGTCCATTGTGACATTGTATTTCCTGGAGAGGCGAAATTCCACGAGCGGGTAGCCATTTTGGGTCATTGAGGAAGTATCTGCCGGCACAGTGTAGATACCAAAATACGGCCTGGATATAGGCTGGTGAGAATTTTGAAAGTGGATCGAAGTGCGACATATTTTTCATGCGCCTTTATTTCGCTGACTGCTTTTCAAGAGATAAGACTTGTAGCAGCGTTTTAGGCAGAAACAAATTTGGGAGCTTAAAACTGCCAGAAACCATGTGAAAAAAGCCATAAGACTGGAGATTCTCTTTTAAGAACGAGATCACATAATGAGGCCCATCTGCCAAATGTTCCTTATCTGGGCCCTGCTCCCGTCCGCCGTCGGTGGCCACTGCCCTGGCCCGAATGTCCCCCGCATGACTGACTGCGAACTGATCGTATGGCTGCTTTGTTGCATACTTTTGGATCAGCCTTACTACCGCATGGTTTATGAAATATATGTTGGACACCTATAACAGCATCTTTTTCCCGAATCATCTTCCCGTACACCACACCAGCTCAGAAAAATAGCCTCCGGAAAGCTGTCTGCCTTAGCTGTCTGCATTGGTCCAACGGACAATTCAGTGCCCACCACGTGTGCATACGACTTGATCTGCTTTTGTGTGTAGGCAGCGGCGTAGCCAGGGCTATTGCCAAGGGGGAACACAAGCTTAACAAAAGCCCATCTTATGGTGATCCCCCCCCCAAAAAATGTCCCTGGATATAGCTCATTTGTTAATGAGTGTCACGGTTTTCTTCGTTTTATTGCTATTTTGACCTCGTAACCAGAATAGAAACCAGGAGCTACCGTAAACTCAATTATATTTGTATTTTGGGATCAGCAAATTGCAGAAATCAGGCGTTGAACGACTGCATGAAACAAGTCACAGTCACGACTGCGCTCTTAATTTACAATGGTTAGTTGACTCCTTCTAAACCAATAGAATTCAGAACCTTTGTAAGAATGTTTTATCTGGGTCCCACAGACATTGAGGACAGTGCGAGTGTAGACTGTAGACCGATATGTTTGATCCAAATTTGAAGATGAAAATTGATTGCAGATCGAGCAGTCAACAATGCATATCAACGTGGTCAAGCCATGTTTGTCTGAAAATGTTCATCATTCGGTCAGAATCGATTACTGATACAATTTATGTAACGTGTTTTTTAGCATGCGCTCCCGCAAATATTAGCAACAAAAACTGGACACCAGGCGTTGCATCTCCATAGTCTGCTGAACCTTACCTCAGTAGCTAGCCCTTAGCCGTGGCCCACCGATGGACGAAAATGGGGACGCTTCTGAAATGATTACCTTAAAAATCTGAATCCACTGGTAACACAAATTACGTGACGCAGTTTTGAGCGTGCACATTCGAGAATCTCAGAAACACAAGCCTCGACCCCAGGCGTTGCAGTCTCCGTAGGCCGCGCAGCGTCGGCCATGCAGTTAATACTAAGTTGTGGCCAACGGGTGGACGAAAATGACGTTTCTAGAAAATTACCCTTGAGCGTTTCATGACATCAGATCTTACATTCAAAGGGCAGTCCGAGCGCATATTTCACGTGTGCAATTTTTAGCCTAATGAAAAGGACGGATTGGCCCTTAAAGCACCGCGAAGTGGCGCTGGAAGCTGGTGGTTGAACTGAAATAGTGAAGGTAGAATCTCTATTTTTCGTGTTTTTGCAGCTGTTTATCTGTTTAAAAGACAGTTGACACGGCGCCCGACGTCTGATGGCACTTGCAGTGGCCGAAATTTTTCGGTTTTACGAAAGCTGCAACACAGACCATCCTTATCCTTGCTCTCGAGGTTGCGGGCGGGCATGTTCAAGCCTTTTGATGTAATTTGTTTCAATAATACATTCTGAAAAACAACGTCCTCAGGCAAGCATGGCATGACTCCGCTCGCTTTCTGCAAGCTCATTTTGACCCACCCTATTCATCAATAATGAGACCCCTACTCTGCTCAACAATAATGAAACCCCTTATTTCCTTCTGGGCAAGGGGCCTTTTGAGTGGAACACCAATGGTACATTACCGTTTCCGGTCAACGGCTAAAGGGCCATTGCGTTCCATCGCGAGTGTCTTCTGGCTACCATTCTGGTGACACGGGGGGGGGGGTCTCCTGGTCGATCCAGGGGCCATTAGAAGGATATATCATATCATATTGTTCCCATCCTTGACACGGGAGGCCTTCTGACCCGCGTAGTTATCCCCGGATTAGTGCAGGAATCCTCATTGATGCAACAACATCCCTGATCACCGAAGGTAGCTCAATAACTGTCACAAGGACTCCAGTTGCGTGTTTTTCTGTGTTCTCCAGGGATATTGAGTTTTCCCTGACAGTAGATTGTAAATGAAATGGGGTTCCTGATTTGTATTAGCATGGCTAACCCATGTTTGTCTTGAAATGCTCAAGATCTTGCTAGAACTGATAACTGATAAGAAAACCGCGTAATATGGTCTTGAACATGCGCGCTCGCAAGTCATAGCAACAACACCCTCGGCGCCCGGCGTTGCAGTCTCCAGACCGTGCGGCGTTTGCTTTGTGACGGTAACACTAAGTGATGGCTGATGAGCAAACGAAAAAGATGACGCATCTTAAGGGAGATGGCTGGTGGACTAGGTAAATCGGCATGCATGTTGAATGTGGTGCAAAAATAAGCCAAATGCAACCTTAACTGAAAAGTGTGTGTGTGGGGGGGGGGGGCATTTAACATTGCTGCCCCACTTTTCAAAGTGGGGGCATGGCCCCCTGCCCCCCCCCCCCCTCCCTGTCCATACGCCCACGGCTTTGGTGCCCCTAGACTTTGGTGGTTCTAGGGAATGAAGACGTGGGGCCATTTGTTTTGCCCCTGAGATCTGGTTCCCCAAAAATAAAGCTCGTCTGGATCCGAGATTGGTGCCCCCTCCCCCCCTTCACCATGATATTTTGGATCCCTCCGGTCTAAGGAGGGACACTGCCTAACAACCCCCTTCCCCCCCCCCCCCCCACTCTAGAACCGCCACAAGCTCCGGCTGCTCTTCAGCTTTGCGTCCGGCGCCTAGCGGCCCTCCGGGGATTAATGTAAAGGAGCTGAAGACGTCACGAAAACATTAAGCGAAGATAAAGCGAAAATCGCGGGACATTTCATCCAGCGTTTTGCGAACTTCATGCACGTATGTAACTGGTCAACAATCCTCGAAAATATTAGTTAATTACGAATTGGTTTCGTAGTAATCAGTTACTAGTTCGTAACTAAATACGAAGTAACCGCGCTCCCCTCTTAGTAAGAATTCGTACTAAATATGCTCGGGACGTGTTCCTTCAGGGGTGCTATCATTGGATTGTCCTTAAGTGAGATCCCGGGCAGCTCAGGACTGGACGATGACGTCACTGGTGCATTCCGGCGCCGCCGCAGCCGCCTTGCCGGCTCCGTCGCTACATCACGGTGGACAAATTAAACTGGGCGCAGTGGTTCGTTTTGACGTTCGGTAAATTACCTCTGCGTTTACCTGATGTTTGCTTTCTGTGCTTGCGATAGGATGCGTTTGAAACTCCAGGGAGTGTACGCACTGCCCTCTTGTGACAGAAGTGAGGGGGCGTGGTTAGCGCGTAATGGACCGTAAGTTAACTTGCATGTTGTTTGTAGCTGTACTGGACCCAGCGCCGGTATCGTCCCCTGAGTGTCACCTGACTGGAGGTCTGGCCAGTGACCACTGTCTGACTAGGTCAACTGGGGTGCCTCGGCGTCAGCACGGAGCTGTTTGAGAATCACATCGTGATGGGACTGCAGAGTAGCGAGTCGCAGCGATCTCTGTCCACACTGCCTTAGACAAATAGAAGAGGGATGGGGCATCTGGCCGCTTTATCATGCGGCGCTGATTTACGAACGCAGGACTAGTTGAGGCGGCAATGACCTTTTTAGATGCGTGGACCGGACTATGTGTTTGACCTTCGGTCCTATATCACCTTGGAACGCATGAGGTAAACTGTAAAGGAGTCCTCTGCGGTCACAGTGGCCGTCTTTGGACGGTCGCCTTGGATCTTTGCGGAGCCTGCTGAGGTCACAGCGAGACGCCTGGCTCAGATTGCTCCTTGGTGGTCACTGAGGCCTGGCTGGTTGAGGCCTCAGCGATCACCAGTGACGTCACTTTAATGTTTGCGGATGGGGCGTTAAAATTGCCGGATGATCTTACCTCTTATACAGCCTTGTACACAGCGTCCCCTGGGCTGCGCCGCGAAGTCCGCATGCGTGAGGGGGCTCCGTGGACTTGATGTTCAGGCTACTTGTTACGCTAATCGTGTTGCGTATCGCGTATCACGTAACGTATCACCATTTTGAACAAAACTGGAAGAGGCGTGTGCAACATTTGCAAGGAGTTCATGTAAGTCCGGTCTGGTTGTTTCGCTGCTCGTCGCGGGAAAGTGGCGCAATGCTGAGCCGGTACCCTATCGCGGTATTAAACGTAGTAAATGATTCCAAAACGTGCCATTAAATGCATTAAATTATTTCCTAGTATCATCTTTTAGCTTGCAGGTGTACGTAAAGTTACGTGCCAATATTTGCATGGCTTTCAAACGACTCGAATGATTGAGATGGCTTTGGACATCACGGTCACGTCATGTCACGTCACGGGAGTTTAAAGTTGTTCTTGGGAGTTTAAAGCGGAGGGAGGGAGAGAGCATTGTCGCCGCTTATGAGAATGTTTCACATCAACCTTATTCTAATGCATCAAATAGGCCACTTAGTGATGCCATTGCCTCTTTACTATATTAGGCATTCTTATCTGGCTGGGACCCACTGTGACAGGCTTCTATATGTTTGGGCTGAAGGGAAGTGTATGCCAGACATTGGCTGCCTAACAAATGTGCCTGCAGATATGCTGAATATTTTTGGTGTCATATGAGAAAAGCTTCGTAAGAACTCTGACGATAAGGGTATCCTACATTTGGCATGATTAAAATGTGATGAGACCATTTATAGCATTGACAGTGATCCATGCTGATTTCCATTTGCAGTGCTACTAGTTGATGAGTGGTAAGAGGTATTTGTAATGATCATTTGCAGATGAATTGCTGACAATAGGTTTTTATAAAATAGGTGAGAATATTTTAATGTTCTTTTCCAATGTTCATCCTAGTCATATTACATTTTTTTTGTATTTTACTTCTTTGCATTATCTTCTGATCTCTTTTAATTTTATTTAGTTTTTGTGACATTGGTTCAAATCAGTTTCTAGTCATGGTGTTAGTTAAAGAGTATGTGCCAAGCGGTCTAGGTGTACTTTCCTACCTAACAGTTAGAAAAAATCATTGCACACCATTCGTCGTGTTTAAGGCGGCACATATCGTAAATAATCTCAAAACAGGTAGAATCATGCTCCTACCTTCGAATTTCAATAACTTCAATGGCGGGCTCCCGAGCGCCGCGCGCACCGCACCGCCTGGACTCCCCAGCGCCGTTTCTGCGTTGCCGTTGCAGTAAATGCAATATTTCTGCTTACCAAGAACTGTACAAAATGTACGGGACCAAGGTAAACCATTCGTCGTGTTTAAGGCGGAACATATCATAAATAATTTCAAAACAGATAGAATCATGCTCCTACCCTCGAATTTTAATAAATACGATAGCGAGCTCCCGAGCGCCGCACGCACCGCACCGCACCGCCTCGACTTCCAAGTGCCGTTTCTGCGTTGTTGCGAAAGCACAATATTTCTGCTTATCAAGAACCATAAAACATGTACGGGACCAAGGTAACAATAATAAAGCAACCAAAATTGTTTCTTATCGAGTTTAGGTACATTTATGAAACATGCAGGCCAGAGTAGTCCAGAACATATCCTAAACTAGCCTAACCTAACCTAACCTAACCTCCCCACCCTATATCCCCTTCAACCCAGCATCGTCCCGGTACATTTTTATGGTTCTTGATGCTGCTTGATGCGCAGTAATGTTGTGACCCGAGCAGTAATGGCGCCGGTGTCGCGGGTGCTGTGTGTGTGCGGCGCTCGGGAGCTCGCCATCGTAATTATAAAAAAATTGATGCTAAGATCATTAATCTACCTGTTTTGTGATTATTTACGATATGTCCTGCCTTAAACACGACGAATGGTTTACTTTGGTCCCGTACATTTTGTACAGTTCTTGGTAAGCAGAAGTATTGTATTTACGCAACAGCAACGCAGAAACGGCGCTGGGGAGTCCAGGCGGTGCGGTGCGCGCGGCGCTCGGGGGCCCGCCATCGAAGTTATTGAAATTCGAAGGTAGGAGTATGATTCTACCTGTTTTGAGATTATTTACGATATGTCCTGCCTTAAACACGACGAATGGTGTACAATGATTTTTTCTAACGTTAGGTAGGAAAGTACACCCTGACCTGCCAAGCAAAGGTTGTTGCATGTATCCTGAACCTGCCCATTAATAGGGAATTTGGCAGGGGCCCATTTTCCAATTCTGATGGTTGTCAGAATAAAATTTATTGACAGCCTATTTTTATGATTTTTGCAATATGTGACTGTGTTTTTGAGCATGGTAGTCATGATCAGCTACCAGGTGGAAGGAATCTCTATTGACAGCCTAAGCTTTTAAACTAAATCCCTCTCAGACTAACCACCTGGAACCACAAGTCATTATCTTTTGGTCAACTGCTTCTTGGAAGTGGAGAATAGGGAAATGTAAGTGCATGTGTACATTGGGGTGTTAATATTGACATGTTTATATACATATATATATATATATATATATATATATATATATATATATATATATATATATATATATATATATACATGCATATATATATATATATATATATATAGTGTTTACATTCTAGCAAGAAGTATTACATCCTTACATACATGTAATCTGTGGTTTGCTGTCTTGTGATATCACGGGAAAGCAGAATGTTATGTCATCATTGTATATTTTATTCAGATTGCCACAATTCTTGCGGCATGTCAATTCACGTCTGACATGCAGCTGTTTCAACAACCTTGATGAAACCATGCACTACATTCGCTGATAGTTGACACTATGTAGAAGTGGCACCAGGGAAAAGATCAGTTAGATTCTGCTCCTGCTATGGCTGTGTGACAAGATCACACTGTAATTGATAATATGCATTTTTCTAGCCATTGCTAGCTCAACAGTAATGTTAACTAAAATCATTGGACTGACCCTCCAAATTTTGTTGTTTGTTTTGCTTTTGTGTTAAGTCACAATCTAAATATGTTTGATAAAGTTGAAATCAGCTCAGGTCACATCTTATCACAAGATAGAAAAGTATGCCCAAAAATATATGTCAAACTTGTAGTTTCAGCATATTGTCTGTTGTTCCAGGGCAGAGTAGCCCTTGTCAGTTTTATACTAACAGTTCTGATAGCATGCATGTAGGGAAACAGCATTGACTAAATAAATCCTTTCCTTCCTTTTCAGGGTTCTACCCACACCCCCACAAGCCAAGTCTGATAGAGGCTTGCTGGGTCATGTGGAATACACACACACACACAGTGTAGGTCAATGCAAACATAATTTATACATGATGCAAATATTTGAAGTTGAAGCCTTCCCTGAGTTCATACCATGGCTGTATAAGGTGTGCTGTTGGCACTAATCTTCTCTTTAAAATTGATTGTGGGAGATTGCCACATTGTGATCTTCAAGGTGTTGTTGCTTGTGAGAAGTGTGCTATGCGTTCCTTTGCAAATATGCGTGGTATGGTGTCAAATTGCTAAATTTGTTTGTAGCTATTCTTCATTGCTCTTGCACTTATGTTGTCTACTTCTATTCTCTCTCCATTTATATTCTTGCTTGTTGTCTACTTACATTGGCTTTCATTTTAATGATCCATTGGCTTAGCTTCCTCAATGGGAGGCAAATTCTCTGCTAATCACTTGTGCAAGTTTGTCAGGATGCTGACTACCCGAAGTTATATTACTGTATGAATGCAGTCAATTTTGTGGAATAAAAGTGGGTTGTGCCCACACCTGCATGATTTCTCCTGTAATTTCAGTCATCTGGCAGAGCAACATGGATAACATTAATAATACTATTTTACCAGAGTTGTTATTGAAGTCATTGGCACTTTATTTCCACATATTGTGCTTTTCAGGCATGCCATGTCAGCGCTTACATGCATCTGTTGAAGGAAATGTACCATCTGTCTTTATATAAGCAGGCCATTTTATTCTGCGAACTTTGTTGTAACCCACCTGAACACAAGTCTTTGCGTTTTGGTCAGTGTGGTTGGATGTAGTTGCAACTCTGCCAATGCAGTTGTGAAATTACAGATATTAGCCACATTATTGATCATAGTGAGCAATGTAATGCAGCATTGTACATTCTGTATTTGTGATGAGTTCAGCTATACTATGTATAGATATGGGCAATGTGTACAAGACTGTTACTGTTAAGTTTTATTAGCTAAATGTCGCACATGCCTTAGCGTCGTCATTACTTCGCAGTTTGTGTGTCATCCATTATGTTTCTGCAGCACCTCCATGTGCTGTTGGCACCTCAAGCACTCTTCATGTGATCAGTAAACTCACATGCCATGTATTTGTTTTCCAGTCCTAAGTCAAAGCTAGTCAGAGCGCGGCTCTCGCCGAGTTTCTCAGAAGACTGGTCGCGCGGTAGAGAAGCATGGCGAGCAGCGACGCGGGCACGGCGAACAACGGCGGCGAGTCGAAGGTGGAGGTGAAGCCGGCCGAGCCGGCCTCGCCCGGCGGCCTGCTCGGCAAGGCCGGCGGCGGCCTGCTCAGCAAGGCGGGCACGGTGACCGGCAGCGGCGGCGACCAGCCGAAGCCGAGCAGCGGCGGCCTGCTGGCCAAGGCGGCCGAGCCGGCCGGCACCGACGACGCGCCCAAGACGGCCGCCGGCGACCCGCCCACCAGTAACGGCGAGAGCGCGGCCAAGCGGCGCAACATATGGTCCACCCGGACCCGGACACGATCAAGATGTTCGCCGGCCAGATCCCGCGGCGCATGGAGGAGGCCGAGCTGCGCAAGGTGTTCGAAGAGTTCGGCCCCGTGTACCAGATCAACATCCTGCGCGACCGCACCACTGGCCAGAGCCGGGGCTGCTGCTTCGTCACGTTCTTCACGCGCAAGGCGGCGCTCGAGGCGCAGAACAAGCTGCACAACCTGCGCACGCTGCCCAGCATGCACCATCCGATGCAGATGAAGCCGGCGGACGCCGAGAACCGCAGTGAGCGTAAGCTCTTCGTCGGCATGGTGGGGAAGCAGGCCGACGACGAGGCCGTGTGGGCCATGTTCGAGAAGTTCGGCCCGATCGAGGAGTGCACCGTGCTGCGCGACCAGAAGAACAACAGCAAGGGCTGCGCGTTTGTCACGTTTATGTCGCGTCAGAACGCGATCGCCGCCATCCGTGGTCTGCACCACTCGCGCACCATGGAGGGCTGCTCGGCGCCGCTGGTGGTCAAGTTCGCCGACTCACAGCGGGACCGGGACGCGCGCCGTCCGCCGTTCGGGCCGCCCATAGGGGGCGGAAGCCGACAGGCGATGCCCAACTATGGTAACAACAATTGGGGCCAGCAGCAGCAGCAGCCGCAAATGCCGATGCAGCAGCAGCAGCAACAGCAGCAGGCGCCGTCCAACATGATGAACCCGTTCAATCCGCAAACGCTGTCGCTGCTGCAGCAGCTGAGCAACGCCGCGTCGGCGCTCTCGTCTCTGGCCGGCCAGGCGCCGCCCAGCGGGCCGCCGCCCAACATGTTCGGCATGCCGCCGCCCAACAACGGCATGGGCCAGCAGCAGGGCCAGCAGCAGGGCAATTTCAACCAGCAGAACAACCCGGCCTCGGCTCTGGCCATGATCATGCAGGCGGCGGCAATGACCCGGCCTGCCGGCGGCCCGTCCTTCCAGGGCCCGCCGCCGGGCAACCCGCCCAACACCAACAACTTCGGCAGCGGCAACTTCAACAACAATCCCGGCACCGGCGGCGGCAGCTATGGCACGACGGGCGGCAATTACGGCGCCACAGGTAACAACTACGGCGCGACGGGCAGCAACTACGGCACACCGGGCAACAACTTTGGCACAACGGGCAACAACTATGGTACGCCGGGAAGCAACTTCGGCTCGTTTTCGAGCCCACCGCCGTTCGGCGGCGGCCAGCAGTCAAACTTCCCGCGTGCGCAGCCGGCGAACTCGAACACGCCGCTGGGCCGCCAAGTGGAGGGGCCGGACGGCTGCAACCTATTCATCTACCACCTGCCGCAGCAGTGCAATGACGCCGACCTTGCCAACATGTTCTCCCCCTTCGGCAACGTCATCTCTGCGAAGGTGTTCGTCGACAAGCAGACGAATATGTCCAAGTGCTTCGGCTTTGTCTCGTACGACAACCCGGCCAGCGCCGAGGCGGCCATTCAGGGAATGAACAGCTTCATGATCGGCTCCAAACGCCTCAAAGTACAGCCGAAGCGCTCCATGAAGGACATCGCCAAGCCGTACTGAGGCAGTTGGCTGCGATCTGACGCGCCCATTCCCGGGAGGCGGCGTCTGAGCGGCTCTCGGCAGGACTTCGGGCTCGTCCGCGGCTGCCGCGCGGCGCCCAAAGCCGCGCCGCGCGGCGCAGTTCCGCGACACCGACGCCACGGGTCTGGCGTCGGTGTGACGTCACCAGACGCTCAGCGGAACCCGTGTACAAACGCTCTGGGTAAGGTGCGATCGTGGGCGTTGCGTGACGGGGGGGGAGGGGGGGGGGGGGGCGACCACGGCCGGAGCCGTCGAACGCAGCGCTCCAACAGGGCCGCGGTACGTATTTGTGTAGAACGCTGACTACCGTCTCGGGGGAGGGGAGGGGAGGGGGGGGGGGGTCGAGGCGGCTAGCCGGCTGGCCGCTGCTTTCCGCGTCTGTGTATTCCCACAGTGTAGTGGGTTCATTTGGGTTCATTTGGCCCCGGCCGTGGGCGGAGTTGGTGCACTGGTGCGCCGTACAGACGGGAATCATCCATCCACTTCCAAATTGAAACCGAACGCAGGCTGTCGCAACTGCCGGCCTTGTTGCTGGCAGGGACAGCAGGTTTTGATATTTTCTCGGTGTTGTTTGTGTTTTGAATGTTCAGACTATTTTACGCTGCCCGTGTTTCCGTCGGCGGTCGGTGCGGTCCGACGTGGTCACACACAAACACCCACACTCCTGGTGCCGTCATCAGTCGTGCTGACCCGTCCGGACGCGTGTGAGACGGTGACAACGTCTGGTGACGCCGCTGTCCAGGTGCCCCGTCGTCTACAGACCCCTGTGACCCGACCGGGGGAGGGCGTGAGGGAGGGGCGCCTCCGTGGGGCGGCGGTCCGCGGCCTCGGCGGCCCCGCCGCCCGCCCGGCCCGGTGTGTGCCGTCTCTGGCGGTGGCGGTGTCGTGGCTGGTGAGGCAGGACGGGTCGTTGCCGAGGCGTGGCTCGGCCGCGCCAGGCGTGTGGTCGCGGCGTCGGTGGTCAGCGCTGACGTGACCTGTCGTGTCCCGTCTAGATGTATCGCCCAAATTCCCCCGCGGCGTCGGCTCCGAATAAATGTTCTCTCGGCGGATGTGGCTGTGTGGAGACGGTGGTGCGCGCGGTGCTCGTGGGCCAGAGTTGTGGCTGTGCTGTGCGTGGGCCCGCTGTCTGCGGGCCGGTGGACGGTCGCCGGTCGGGGCCACCGAGCCAGGTGGACACGTGGAGGCGCAGTCTCGGCGGAGGTGTCGTCGTCTGTGTAAGTCTGGGTACTGGTCAGCTGGAGCCTCGTCGCGCCAGGCGACGCTGGACCAACTCATGTGGACGTCAGAGCGGGGTTTTTAACCATTTTTCCTCTTTTGTCGTTTGGTCGTGATGGCACTGAGGCACCAGAGTTTGTTGATGTGTATGCCGATGCGTTCAGCATGGCACAACGTTCATATCTGTCGTTTTTCGTCCGTTTCCTGCTGTTTGTTTCATGTTTCGTAAAGCTTGAAATCGCAAATCCTTGTAATCTGTGAGGCGGCATGGGTAAATGCAAGTCGTATGCAATTGAAGGAGCATATTCGTAGCTGCATTGTCACTTCGGTTGTCCTTAACCAGTTTTTCTTGACGTGACAAAATAATTAAGATTGGTATGTTCTGCTTTTAAGCTATTGCACAGGCCAACCTTAACATGCTATATGAAGCTCAATCGCGCTGCCGCTCCCATGAGGAATGGTCCCAATTCCCAATAGTTGGAATGGTCAATACTTTGGCCCAACAGGAATTGAATGTATGCGAGTACTTTGCATGGGGGCAACTTAGTTGAAGGACTCGACGCTGGCTTTGATGGTGTGATATCAAAAAGTACTGAATAAGTGCGTCACTTCCGTTCTAAATTAGCGACATGTATGTTTTAACTGTTGGGGATGATTTGTTTAAAAGGAATGTGGTCTGGCCTGTTTTATGACTTCCCGTGCAAGGGATGGGCCAGGCCTGACTAACCTTCGCTCGTTTCCTCTCCCGTGGCAAAAGCTATGTGCCAAAATCATCGAAGCTTTGCAGCCAGTAAGACATAGCCCCATTGCTAGCGATAATGAACACAGCTGACGCATCACCGGTGCAGCTAAAATGACATTTCCAAGAAACTTGTCGAGCGTTGAGTGGATTTTTGTAAGAACTGTGCTTTGGTAGATGTTGACTGACGACTTAAAGAACTCTTTTGTGTGCGTTTTCTGCGCTGTACCTGAAACCATCTGCACACGCGCGCACAAACACTTGAATGTTCAGTATCCAAAGTTGTGTTCGACTTAGCTGAATCGTGAATTGGCTCACAAGCCGGTCGTTTTGGGGTGAGCCGCGACCCGAGTCAGTTCGTTAGGGAAAATGTCACCTTGAGCCATGAGCGGAATCATATTCTTCATAAATTTCACGAACTGCATTGTGATCCGATCATGTGTTTAACTGTCGTGTCAGTGAGCCATGTGGCTCAAATAAGTATGGAAACATGAGGAAACAGCACGGCCCAGGCAGGTTAACAAACTAATTCAGAGTGTCAAAATGAGCAGCATCTGGCATTAGGTAAAAGTTGCGTTTTTGCTAAATCGGCGCGTTTGTTATATTGTCTAAAAAGCAAGCACAATGTTATTGATCCTGATCTAAAGTTTGCCAAATCTCAGCCAAGCTAGCCAGCTAGTGGAAATGTGACTACCTACGTGTGAACGTACTTGTGACTACCTACGTGTGTAAGAGAGCTCTCAGAGTGGCCAGTCGACATTTGCTAAAGGATAGGGCATTGAGCCAGAGCTGAATCAGATTTTTTTTTATTTTGCAAGCCGCGTGAGTCATGAGCCAGATGGCTCAGCGCAAGCGATTGGTTTGAACTGAACTGAAACAGGAAAGTTGGAACGGGTATGGGTCATTGGCTGAATCGGATCCAAAAATAAGTGAGCCGGTCTTGAGCCCGGCAAAAAAATGAGTTGAGCACAGGTCCGTCAGTATTCACTCTGTACCTAGATGGCGTCGACCAGCGACTCAAGCCCTATCTGGGGCTTATTTCCGAAATCAAACCAAGCATTGCATATAAACTTAGCGTAAACGCAATTCGTTCCTCGAACCACGCAAAGGCCTTTAGTGGTGGCAGAAATATGGGCTGAAAAAATGTATGTTGCGATGCGAAAGTGCCGTATGGGTCGGGTGCATGCTGATTCTAATAGAGCAATGCTGAAGGCGGTCTTCAGTCACAGGCATGGCAGCCAGTTGGTAGTTATCTCTTCTCGCACACATCGCTCCATCTGTTGACTTGTTCTCCGCCGGGCATTGCATGCACGGCTATCAAAATCGTGCCATTTTAGAACAACCGGGTACAAAATGATCCATCGGCCAAAGGTAGTCTGGGCGTACAGTGGGCCAGCTGGAACTCGCCAAAGAGATGGGGCCGACCAAAAATCGTGTGGTCAAATCATTGAAGAGTCCATTCAAACTTCTCGGTCACGTGATGACGTCGTTTTTGCTGGGAGCTTCCGGTGTATGTTGTAATGATTTTCAAAGTGTGGGTCGAAATACTGGTCCAACAGGAGATGATTAACAGCAGATTCCGCTGGGTTAACTACGACAACGGCTTAGTACATCAAGTAACGGCTGTACAAAGGCTCAAAACTGATCATCTTTCCGGTGTTTGCGATTTTTTGGGGACGATTGGACTAAGTTTTGACTTGAAAGAGAATGCTTTATGCTCTGGCTATTTTTGAGCTTTTGAAGATTGATCAGTCTAGCACTCGTAGAAAGATATATTTAGAGAAGTTTTGGAGGTCTTATTCCCTCCCATCTCTGGCTCCCACTGATGTCGACCACGTACACCTATAAGGAGTGGATAGTCCCATGTCCTCCCACTCACTCGACGTTCGCCAGGCGCCAGTTACTCAGGTACCTGCGTAATCGCTACAGCGGCCACCAGTTGAGTTGTGCGTAACCAGGGGTGAAAATTTAGCCGCTATATCAGATCCCGTATGGAAACTTCTCAAACGTAAACGCTATTCAATAGTTCCGCCCTGTCTTGTGGTTCAACAAGTATTGTTTAGAGCAACGCATTGTACGAAACTTTGCCGCTGGAGCACACACATTTGCGTGAGCCCTATGCAGTGGTCTAGTGAGGCGAGTGGGGCTGTGGTGATTGTCTGGCTGATCTGGTGTGCAATGCTCGATCATTCCAGCATCTCATGTCGTTTACAGATGACATCGCATTGATATTTTTCTGTGAGAAATGACTCGTGACGACGTGCAACAACGTGTAGACCAATGTTTCGTACTTTTGATAATCTCATGGTGTTTGCAAATGGCATCGCTCACCAATCATCTGTGCGTGTGGAGTGTACCGTGGAACAAGAGCGTTTGGACCAAAGACGAAGGGCATTGTAGGCGAGAGACATAGAATGGACTCACAGAACAGCGCACGTTTCTACTTGGGATCGGGGGAGGTGTGTCCTTTGGATTGAAGGCCTGTTGATCAAGTACCAGCCTTGGTCTCCGTCCAACGGAGCAGCGGTCGTGGTCGATGGTGGTTATTGTGAGGCCGTTCGTAAATAACGTCATGCAGATTTAATCGATGTTGACCCCGTACCCCCCGTGGTTACGCTGGCGAGCTTTGAGGGAGGTTTCAGCATTACTTGCGTCCACGCCTGAGCGTGACGTTCCGTTCCCCGAAACCCCCTCCCCTTGTGACGCCTTGATTACGCGTCATCGATCTTTGACATCCCTGTCCACTCATGGGCGACCCCATGTAGAATGGACCACTTGTCGCCTGGAACTATCGTGCCTACGCAGGAACTGTGGCCGGTCTGTGTAGTGCCGCCTCGCCACGCCATGCAGGCCGTGATGGTGTACGTTTCGCCGGAGCTGCCGCGTCGGAACGTGCTCCTGTGGGCGGGGTTTGGGCCGGGTGCGGCGGCGCCCCGCACGGGACCGACCTTGCGCTCGCAGCGACACGCCGGCTGACGGGTCATGCTCAGGGCCTACCCACGTCGCCGGCGTGGCGTGCTGCGGGCATCGGGGTGGCGGTGTGACGGGAAGACAGCGAGGCAGCTCGTGATGGGTGGAACCTGTGGCTGGTGCGGGCCTTTGTACTGCGATGCGATGACTTGCGATGCGATGTTTCGGCCTAAGCACTGATGACCTGTTGATCTAGGCCATCTGTATGGCCACCAGACGCGTTGCGATACTACGCGCAGGGTAAACGTAGCGCTAGCTGGCAGCGCTGTGATAGGGAGAGAATGGCACGTGGGCAATGTTTGTTGGTCACGCGAGGTGCGCGCCGTCCGAAACGCCGAGGACATGGTGTGATACGGCACAAAATCCAAAATGCGCCGCTATAGCCCGGACCCTGCCTCGCCCGCAGACACCCGTTCACGTCTGCCGGTGACGTCATTGAACTGTCATGGGCGGTAGGTCGGCAGGCTAACTCTAACCATCTCTAGTCATCTTATCCTGGCCCAACGCTGACGGACGTTGACGGGCTGGCGCGGGCGCGGCGGTGTGGGATACGTGGAGACACTGGCGGACGTGAGGTTGATATTCTGTGAGGCGTGTGCGGCGCGCGGCGTTATGACTGCCTTATTGCCCCAGTGCTCATGTGCTGACATCTGTTGTGATGTTTAGGAGCCATGCCAAGGGCGAATGTAATACAACAGTTTGGTCAATGAAATGTCCATTCTGAACTCGGTAGTTTGAATGCTTTGAAGCCATGGTATTTATTGGTGCCCCGTGCGTGCCTCTTGATAACTGCCGGGCTCGGACGCGGCCAACCATCAATACACCGGGGGGCCGTTTGAATCCCACTCATTGATGACTCGTGCACCAGTCGTCGGTTTACGGCTCGTTGGCGAGTTCAAAGCCGCTGCTGGGTTCTCGTTTTTGTTCTCAGTTCTCGTACTGTGCGGGCTACGTCCGTCCCTGGGTAGGCCCCGGACTAGTGTTTCGGGCTTGTCAGTGCCTTGGGTCCTCGCGCCGGCTTGTGACCCTTAAACGTTTTCTTGCGTTCATAACCCGCTCGGCCGCTTGCTGACCTACCGGCTGCATAAGGGCAGATACTTAGCTACAGGTCGTTTGCTCGCAGCAGTTACATACGACTATTATCGCAATTGCATCTTGCATTTCTTATGCCCTGCTAAGTTATTGATGATTGCTATGAACTTCGGTCTACAGCATCGTTTGTGGATCTCAGCACGAAGTGGACAAAATGAAATGTATTTGTTGCCACAATAAACAGCACTCTGCGTTTTGTTTCTACCATAAATAGCACTGAACCACATGCTACCAGTAAATATCCGCACCTTTGCTTGGCTCAAGCAAGCGCAACAGGCATGAAGAAAGCCGTGGGTCTTACAAACATTACAGTCGTAGCGCCGCAAGCAAGGGTGAAGCTATCCCGGATATGTTGGTGTTGTGAGCCACTTTGACAGCAGTTTGATGTTCCGTGTAAACATGGATAGGAGAAGTTTTTTAGCAATGCAGAGGAAACACGATAATAGAACACGGAATCCCTCGCCTTCAAAGTTGCCCTGATCTGGCCCTGATTTCACACTCTTCCTGGAGACAGGCGGTTCCTATCTTGGTTACAGCAGCGCTCCTGGCGGCGCTTAGACGTACTTCGGCGGTGGCGCGCCGTACTGCAGAGCAGCCTTCTTCGCCTCCTTCTCCGGTGTGCTCAGGTACGGGTTCTTGTACGGATCCAGGTTCACCCTGGGCACGAAACATGACTGTGAGAACCTGTGTTGGCAGCGTCTGTAGGCAACAGCACGAGTCTGAATTGACAAAAGCCGACTAGGGGGATGGTCTGGTACGGCCTGCAGGTGAAGCCGAGCAGCAACCGTGCATTAGGAATGGGTTCGAGCTTCGAGCCGCTGTTTCTTGTCCGCACATGACGGGATCAGCTATTGGATACCTCGCTGTGACGTCGGTGTCCAGCGGGTCGATAACCCGCTGTAACGTTAGCGCTCAGCACGGACGCCGCTTAACCGCCGTACACCTATGCATACTGCGCCAGAGCCATCTGGAGACGCTTAGTCGAAGCTCAGCTTTTGAGTCCGCCCGTTGCCCCTCCAGCCTTGGTGCCCGGTCCATGTCGCCGCCCTTACCAGTGTTGCCTTGGCAGTAGGGTGAATGGCTGCAAAGATCGGGCCCCGGCGCCAGGTGAAAGGCTCCGGGCCCACATCGGCCAACGGCACACTCACTGGTACTGATTGACTGAGTCGGCACAGTTGACGTTGTACCACCAGTCGCAGGTCAGCTCGTACTGGTTGAAGACGGTGCCGTTGGTGCAGAGGAAGGAGGCGCCGGCGTACCCGTGTCGGTTGTCCAACTCGCACACGTGGTAGGCCTGTGGTGACCGGCCGGGCGAGGTCAACACGGACCCCGTACGCACTGGGTCGGACGGTGGCGTGTCAGGAAGCACATCTCACAACGGAACACCCATACTCCTGGGTAATGGGGCCGTAAACACATCAAAGGCATTTGGCAAACAAATAGCCTGGATCGTCGTTGGGCCGCTGGGGTCGCATCGCTGGTGGCCGGAGTCGGCCTGCGGACCGCGGGAATCACTGACATGTGCGAGGCCCTGATGGCAATCCTTTGCCACACTGATGTCAGTGTCGGAGATCTACACATGGCGTCCGGCGCCCGCTAGCGGATGGGATCCCGCATAGGTACAGCTTGTGGCGTTGGGCGTCCGCTAGGGGATGGGATCACACATAGATGTAGTTCCGCACAATAGGTTGGGGAACCAGGCAGGGAGGAAATGCCAGAACCTGTCCTCATACCACAAAAAGCTGGCTTCTCCCCAGATTTGACCCACTGTCCTCTCAAAGTTAGAGGACTGGAGCACCCCGCCCCCACCCCCTGCACAGGAGATTTTGCCCATGTGATCACAGATACGTACCTGACACCCAGCCTCGGGGTCGGCGTACAGGCCCGGCCGATGAGGCACCTTGTCGCACGTGAAGCCGGTCTCCGGCACCTGTGACGCAACGCCACCTTGTCAAGACGCCATGCTGGGTGGTCCCGTCGTGAAAAGGACGGAGATTGGGAGCCTCACTGCGAATATAGATGCCTGCTGGGCTCAGCTGCGAGTTATAATTCGGCGGCGCTGTATAGCGCTATTAGACAGCTTTATGTGCTACACTTAAGGGGACTGGGCCCGCCAACTGTTTTGGTTTTAGTCAGGGCGCAGAAAGTCGTGGCGCATTTTCAATTCAGTGGGTACATTTCCTCTCGCCGAGAGTTTTATCATTGCACTGCCACAATCTGTAAAGCTTTGGCTTTAGCAAGGCCCCTATGGGAGAAGATGCGGCTGTGGCTCTTCCAGTTACTAGTGTTTTAATCAACAGGGTTCCGACCGACGGCAAAACGCATAAGCGGTAGTATTCCAGCTTCTTGAAAGTGTCCGTGTTGGGATGATATTACTGAAAATTTAGCACGTTCCAGATAAAATAAACAGGAACTGGCACATTCGTCTCAAGTTGCATTTCAAAAGAGCTTGGTTTTCTCTTGTTACGTTGCTCTGGTGGGTGAATTATAGTTTGAGCCATTCATTCATGAAAGCGCTGACAACTGCCCAAAAATTACTTCTGAGTGGAACTTAAGAAGAAAGTCGGTACGTTTATTGTGTGCAATATGCATGCAAAGCCTTTGATCAAATGTGAACTTTCTGAAATATTTCGAATCCCCCATCATCAGAAACCTTCCACCCATGATGAGCTACGCCATCCGAGTATCGGCAAACCTCATGAACGCGTGGACACGGAACGATGGCGATGAGCCCGTGGTCAAATGGCACTATCCCAAAGCACGTTATCATCGGACGGGCATCAGTCTCACTCATACTAATCTCGAGATGTGGCATGGCCCGTCACTGACCGCCGGGTAGAGCGGGTAGTCCTTGCCGGGATAGCCGGGGATCTTGCTCAGGTCCTGGGTGTTGATGCCGCCGTAGCGCGGCTCGTTGTAGCGGCCCTCGGGCGCCGTGTACAGGACGGGCCCGCTCGGCTGCAGCTTCTGCACCTGTCACCGCCGGGTATGCCGGGTCAGGGTCAGGGAGGGGACTGCAGAACAGCCGTCTGAAAGATCCGTCATCGAGCGGGCGAAGTAGCGCAGCGTCTTGCTCTGCAGCGCAGCAGGTAGTGCTTTCCACAGCAGTCACACGTTCGTTTGCTTGGCCTGAGTGGCATACGGACACTTTTGGAAGGAGCGTGGGTCACGATGTTTCTGAGCTGCTGGGCGTCCCTTGGTGCTCGTTTTTGACATCGACCGGCCTACCTCCCCGTTTCCCTCCGTTTCGGACTCCGGCGTGGCTCACCTGTTTGCGCTCCCTGGGCACGAACGGCTTCGGCACGTAGTGGCGCGTGGGCGGCGGCGGCGGCCCGTACGGCAGGGCTGGCGGCGGCGGCGCCCCGTACGGCAGGCCCGGCGGCGGCGGGCCAGCGACAGGTGGCGCTGGCGGCGCGCCGGGCACCACGTACACGTCGTAGGCGGCCGGGTCCTCCACGCGCGGCTTGCTGGCACGCGGCCGGCGCGGGATCTCTTCCCGGAACAGCGTGTCGATGTCACTGCTCACCTGGCCGGCGCACACAGGGGTCATTCGAGGCTGGGGTGGCCATAATAAGTCCGCTGGATTTTGCTGATTACAATCAAGTCGGGAGATCTCATTCTGACAATAATCGAGCTTCCGTATGGCAATAGGTAGCGCTTAACCAATGTTATTAAGGAGGCGTTGGCTTGGCTATATTGACAAGACTCGAAAGTTTGAAGCTGTGTTCATGGTTACCTCGCTCAGTCTTATGGTTTGCAATGCCAGAAACCTAGAGCTCAGGACCTTTCTTGTGTATATCAACTGTCCAGATTCCAAACATTTCAGAGAAAACTTGTTTCCGTTTGGGACAAAATGACCCCAGCAGTCGGCGTGCCCAAGAACTACAATTAGGGGTATATTTCTTATTCAGTTGGAGGGCTCCAACTCTCCAACTTGGAGAAGAAAGTGGGCTTAATTCAGAGAGAAGCCCATTTGCTGGCGCATTCCGGGGTCAGTTTTGCCTCTTTTCACTGCTGAGCTTTGCCCCTACCCCTATCCCAAATCATTCTGAGAAACTACGCTCCTGACTCTAATGATCAATCCATGGCTTCGCATTCATGGCTTCGCTATGCTCGAGTCAGGTTTACGTGACAGCTGTTTTGGTTTCCACGTGATGTTAACAGGCGCTCAGCCAATGACAAATTAAATAACGTCCTCCAAACAGCACAAAAGACGAGAAAATGTTCACGGGAAAACTGAGCGCCCGTGGTCTGCTCAATTTCAAAAGCGGTGACCGGCTAACGTTCCTCCGGGGCAGCCCACTTCTAACAGCCCGTGTGTGTGCAAATTGGCAGGTCAACTGCAACCCACTCCGTACATCGAGCCGATACCTCCGGATTGGAGGCGCCACTTTGTGTACTTTACAGGAAAGGTGGTGTTTGGCGCACAGTAGACAAGGACTAATCGAAATGCGCGGAGGCTCCTCAGCATTTCCTGTGTTTACCTGTGAAGTGTGAATGCATAAATTTCGAGCCTGGGTAAGCATGTATATATATATATATATATATATATATATATATATATACCTCTCTTCCTCTGGCTCCCTCTGTCTCTGGCTGTATCTGTGTCAACTGGTTCATCAGAATGATGGACTGGCCCGCTTCAATCCCAAAACTGCCTTTTCGTACGAAAAGTTTGCCAAGTGGTAGTGGCCACGTCTGTCCGGGGCCTTGATGTCGTCGGGGGGTCGAAGGCTGTGTCACGCGCGGCCGTGGGGAGACAAGGTGATGACAGTGTGTCGCTCACACCGCTGGCACCACTGAGCCGCTCCCTCGGTCTACAGACTCCGAAGAGACCCCAGACCCCAGAGTGGGCTCGGAGCGATGTATGAAATGAACGGCCGCAGGAGGTCAGTTCTAGCACTTAAGGCCGGCACGCCCCGTGTGAACCGGAGACCCCGGAGTGGCGTGGGATGACTTATATCCCCCTGTATTTCACATATAAAAGAATGGTAAGACAGACGGGGGAAACTGAAATGGGCTAGAGCCGAAGTAGGATGGTGAAAGCTTAGGCTACGCTCATAACGTGGACCAGAACACGTCACAGCCAGCTGGGCAGTGACGCCATTGGAGCAATAAGCGGTGCCAATCGTGGACATTCTTTTGAAGTCGTGCGGCAAAACTGTATCTCTGTTCCACAACAGCCCTGTTGGAGCGACCTGAACGAGCAGTAGCACGTTTTGCGTCGGGTGGGATGCTGCGCCTTTCAAACTTTAAGTGTCCGTGTCATGGCGTTGACTTATTGCAACACAGCCAGGGTTCTTTTAGGAATAGGTTCTTTCCGCACCGCCGCCTTATCATTCAGCCTTGCTGTTAGGCCGCCGGTTGGCCGGTGTGGTCACGACCGGAGGCCGGCCTCACTAGTTCAATTGCCGTGTTGCTCTGATTAGCGATCTTATCACTGCAGTGTCCATCGAGTGACGCAGTGCCCGCCCGCTTTAGAGCCGTATATCCCTGAGCGGCCCGGGTCGGCGCGAGGGTGTAACGGAACCTAACGGCCTTCGTGTCCGGTGCTCGTGCCGACGGCGTGGCACGGCGGCACCGTTCGGCGGCGCGAGAGAGTGAGGCGGCCTTGACCGCGGCCCGGGCCCCGCCCGTCATGCGCCGCGTGCCCGCCGCCCAGCAAGAACTGGTGGCGCCCGCCGATCGTTGAGAGAGAGGCCAAAACGGCGAGCAGCACACCACGCTGCAAAGGGTCTTGTGCAATACGCGACAACTAGAAAATGGGCATAGAATAGTGATCGCGATAGGGATCTGAGATGTAGATGATGGGATTTTGTAAATGTTTTTAGACTTGCAATGGAAATCGATTCCTCCTTGCACTTACCTTTGTTTCTGGCCGCTGCGTGGCAAATTGTTAAAACATCGTGCCACTGACAATTTCTTGGAAACGATAGACGCATTCCGCGGAAGTGCGAACAACGATATTCCGTTGCACCATGTTAGCCAGCTAGGTCGAGCGCTCGAAACCTTCATGCAAAAAAACGTGCTACTTTGCACATTTCCACAGTCACCAACATCTTTTAGAACAAGTTGATGGCACGCAAATGTACCACGGCCGCACGCACATGCACTTTCCACATAATGTCATAGGCGTATTGATGGAAAGAAATGACTAGAGCTCCGCTGACACCATCCGGGCATGCAGCTGTTTTTTTTTCTGTATGGTCCTATAAAAGCCTCATTTACATAGTCGCCATAGCCATGTCAAACACTGAGCAGTGGACTTATCAAGGCATGGTGGGCATGGACATGGTTTCGTATTTAGTTGGAGTGCAAGGGCCCCAGCTCCCCAACTTGCGCCAAGCCCGCCTACCCCAATCTCGAAAAAGAAGTTTGTTTGTGAGGGGAGGAAAAGGAAGCTTGTGAAAATTTTGTCGTTTTCACCTGACTCAGTCCCTTCCCAAATTGATTGTGCGAGGCTGTGCGTCTGATTATTTGAGTAACAAGCGTGATAGTCTAGGCTAATTCGACCCAAGAATTAAGTTTGATTTGGCTTCGTAGTTAGTTCCACGCAAAGTTCGTTCCACGCATAGTTCCACGCAAAGGCCGAGCTTCGTAAAATTTATCTTGTTCATGGTGTTCATGAAAAATGGGCCTGTCGCAGTTTTTGTTTGACGGCTTTCTTGTGATTTCAGTCCCATTTGGAGGAAGTGACACTAAGGATGGCAATGCAGGGGGCTGTGGCACCCACCAGGCAGTACAAAGTTCTAGCTATGGTCTCATATCCATTGCCACGTCATTGCCAAGTTGCCTGTCGGTTCATGCTTTCCACAGGCCCCGCGTTTTTCACGCTCCACTCACCTGTCCCGCTGCCAGGAGAACGCAAAGTACCGCCACGTTCCTCATATTTTGATCTGCAATCAGACGAGAGGTGGGTAAGGTCGTGTCGGCAGGGTGCCAGGCGTCTGCCCTTGCAGCGGAGATCCTGTCACCTTATATCACATACGACTATCAGCACTATCACCACACGAGCCACAGCGGATTGCCGATCGGAGACTGCGATGCACCACCTTCAGCGAGCACGAATCGGAGACTGCAGCGACGCCGCGTCGGGCCTGTTAAACGATGCGCGCGGCGGCACCAGGGAGGGAGGGGCGCCACGGGGCAACTGGCCGGCGGCGGACCCCACCCTCGGCGGTCACGTCGGTCGGCGGTCACCCCTCGCCAGGGCCGTTGACCTGGCCGAAAGGCTGACCTGGCGCGGTGGTGGCCGGCCGCCCGACACTGGTCCACTTTCACTTTCGTGGTGGACTGGGCTGGGCTGGGATGCGGGCGGCGGTGGCACCAGTGAGGGACTTGACCCTGGCGGGACGTACCCCAGCCCCCCTATCTTTTCAATTCTGATTCGTGGCTCGACGATAGCACCGCTCCTGACTGACATCACAGGCGCAGATCCGACTTTGGCGGGCTCCCCTCCCTGTTATGCTCCCACCTGACAGCAAAACACCGTGGAATGAAATATATCACCCGGCATGAGCTCGCGCGGCCCAGCCGGTCCCCCCGTTCCTCCGTCCGACCTCCCGCCTAACGACAGCACAGGTGCGGACTGACACAGATGAGCCCGACCCGACCTCGAACTGACCGTCCGTCCCTCCCGTCCCATGTGTGCCCCCGCCCGGCAACAGGGCAATCTCACACAGGCACGGATGGCCCTAACTGGCCGGCACAAAACGGCTTCATGACACTGGTGCTACGGCAAAAACGGCTCCGTGACACTGGTGCTAAGGCAAAAAAGGTTCCGTGACACTGGTGGTACGGCAAAAACGGCTCCGTGACACTGGTGCTACGGCAAAAACGGCTCCATAACACTAGTGCTACGGCGCAAACGCCTGGCGTCAGGAGCGCTGCGACATTACGTCTTCTGCCAATACTTATAGTGATATTACACAGCAAAACAATATATACACAACAAAACGTCTACCTCAAAAATGTTTGTCACACACGCCTTCCGTTGGAAACTTACAGAATTTTTAGTCATATTTACCATAACTTTTGCTGTAGACTTCTTTGCGACATTAATGCCACACGACAATGCTGATGCTTCAAGATTTTTTTCCTCTCCCTACATGGCTTTATTTCAAATGCACAAACCACACTTCTAACTAAGACACGAAATAAATAATACGTGCTATGCAAGAATATAAACAGACTGATACTTTAAACTGCGTACTATACCTATACGCAACATAAGTGCCAAACGAAAAGGTTTGTTCTTCAAAAACCTACAGCCGTCATTACTTCTACTCCAAAAACGTACACGTTCCTCATTTATACGTGACATTGCTTTCACCACAGTATGTACTGAATGAGACGGCACGGAACGCCACGGAAGGCACTGGAACAAATTAGGACTGGGAGGTGAGGGCGGAACAGGGCTGGGCTATACTTCAAATATTTCGTTTCAGTTTATTACATTTAATTTTATTTCCTCTGCCGTCTATAAAGCAGAGGAAATGACAGGACACGCTAAACAGGGGGGTAGGTGAGAGCAGGGCAGGAGAGGACGGGTCCGAAGACAAAACAGGACAAGACCGGCCTTGTCCTCTTTTGCCGTCTGTCTTTTCACTGGTCCCTCCCCCTGCCCTCTGTCATTCCGTCTATGCCTTAAAGGGAGTGTTCCACATTTAAAAGGGTTTTGAACTGAAATAGTCATCTCGAAGGCCTTGCGGCGCTGTTCACAATCCCACAATAAGCCACTGTCTCCCAATCTCAATCCATTTCAGCGTGAGCAGGCGTTCTCCGAAGGATTATAGGATATAAGGATATTCGAAGGATTTCCAGATATTTGGAGGAGGTGGAGGAGGAGAAGAATGAGGAGGAGAAGAGGGGATGGCATGACGGTTCCATCGAGGTTCATTACCCGAACGATATAGCCGCCAAACGTGTATTAGGTGCCAGGGAGCTGACTTCCCTGCGAGGGCCACGGCATCGTCAGCATGGTCATCACCGTTACGCCGCATCCGACCAGAAAGTCGTCGAAAGGCGTGATGGCGTGCTGGGAGTTGAGAGCAGTGTCGAAGGAAGAGATTCTGAGGGAGAAGAGATTGTGAGTGTGAAATTGAGAGGGACGGAGTGACCTCTGCTAGGCGCAGCAGGAGGAGGGAAAATATCCGGCTTAATGATACAGATACTTCCACTCAAACCTTCGATACCAAATTCAGTCGGCTGCTTCTGATGTTTAGACTTCGCTCACATTACTGACAGGTGTCGGAGAGACCCTCGCTGCACCGGATGCTCTTGTTCAGAGCACCGGTCCCGCGGCTGCGTCGCTGAGCGACGGAAGTCCTTGCACTGCGGCAAAGACTACGCGACCTTTTTTAGGAAGTGCCGTGTGTCTCTTGCGGAAGAGAAGGTTATTAGCACCAAGGTCAAGGAAAATATTTCAGCTAGATACACTCGACGTAAGTACAAGGAATCCTCAGCAAAGGGCTCGCCGTGATGTCCTGGCCTCTTCAGTGAAACTCACAATAACGCCATACAGTGCTGGTCAGATGCTGTCTTTGCATGGCCTTCATGCTTTAAAAACATGACTGTCGGAGACTTCATCACCATGATCGCCCATGTTCTGGCCCTGAGGGTCTCCACCGTCACCTGCACTCGTGGAAGAAAGGTGGTTGGCTAATCCGCAGCTGCCATGATGCGTAGTGGCGCCCCGGTTGCCTTGCGGGCCGTGTGCCCCCCCCCCCCCCCCCGCTGGTTGGGCTCCCCAGCGAGGTCCTCGCAATCCCTGCCCGGAAAAATTTCGGCGCCATATGACCAACGTAGTCGGTGCGCCCCAAAGCCCAGATAATAATAATAATTCGGAAGGGCAGGGTGGCCTCCCCGGTGCATTCTGCACCCCTGCAGCCCGCCGCTGTGGCCAAGCGGCGGCCCGGTGGCTGCCGCGCAGCCTGCCTACTCCATGACGTCTTCGCAGCGAATAGAGCCTCTTGGAAAGGAGACATTGCGCAGGGGAGTTAGCATTCCCTACGGCTTGCAAAGGGATTGGAACCATCCCTCGTACTGGAAAAAAAAACACGTCGGTTGGTCGTCATTCCCCGTTACAGGGCCCGCTAGGGACAAGGGTGGAGGCCGGCCTGACGTTCTGGACTTGGGTGCGCGGGGACGCCCCGCGCCCGGACTCGTTCCGGACACCCGGGTCTTGCGCTCCCCCACTTCCTGGGACCCCACCTCCAGCGGCCACGCCTCGCCCGACGGGTGCGGTGAGTCCGGCCCCAACACCGCCGCCGGGGTTCGGTGACGTGCGAACGACGGACAAGACACCATCCACCGCCCAGGGTTGTGGTGCCGAGTGGGCCCCACCGTGACCTGTGTCTCCCACGGACGGTGGGACCCCAAAGGCCCGGCCCAGGGTTCGGTCTGGATCTGCCGAGGATGTTCGTCGGAGTCATCAGCCGTTCGGACCAAGGACTGGACCGAGTCCCGCTTTGAAAACAAGGACATTGTTGTGCTAAAAGACTAGTTGTCACCACTTCGTGCTTAATTTTACAAAAGAACTTTCGCGGTTTAACAGCCAAGGCGACCGACCTGCAACAGATTCCGTTTTCGCGCAATCCAGTGGTGGCATGCCTGCAGAAAACGAAGCTGTCCCCTGATAGAGATCAAGTTATTGAACGCTGCCGCATGTTTAGAAACGACGTGAGATCGCACACGATCGCCTGGGTGGTGTAGCCGTTTTGGTGCATAGCAGTGTTCCCAGTACCAAACTTAACATGAGCACCGAACTGCAAGCCGTCACCGTTACTGTTGACCAGGGCGTTATAAAGTTAACAGATTGCTATATATGCTTAGCACCAGCGGACCACTCACGTGGCCAGTCGCTGGGGTCTGTTTTGGACCAACTGTCATCACCGTTCTCGGTCCTTGGCGATTTTCACTCACAACACAAGGTGGGTTTGTGCTCTTGCGAACAACACGGGTAGCATGAAAAATATTCAATGTACGTGCGCAGCAGTGTAACTTTCGAAAACTGACGGGGGGGGGGGGGCTCAGCCGAAAACGTCGATCTAACTTATCCCCAGAACTTAATTTCCCCGGATTTCGACCATTGAAATTTGCGTCCGCAATGTTTATATTGTGTAGCATAGCTTTGTTTGGTATTTTGCATCTTCAAAATATCCTGTGGAGCAATGATTCCCATCTCAAGTTCGTGTCAACTGCCTTTTTGTGAAAAGCTTAAAATGTGATGCAGTCCACGGAAACACATCCTAGTAAATCTTACTAACGGATCACTGAGAACTGCCGCTGCCGCCGATCATATTATAATTACCAAAACAGCCACGAATATGCGACAAATACACCTGCCGCTGTTGGGGAAACCGAACATTAACTCGTACCTGGGTCATTCGGTACTAAGTGAGTTGCCACATACTGCAGTAAATCGTTATTTATCCCAAGTTAGGCGTTGCCATTTGAAGAACTTGTCAAACATTCGCAGGCTCGCCAGCATATGAAAGTGTTAGCATTACACAAGCATCAGACACCCACAGGATACCATTTGGCACAAAATTAATATGATACTCATAGCGATGTGTTTAGGCCGCTGCTGGAAAGCATACCAAAAGCTAAGATGATTGCTGGGTATTAAATTGGCGCAGTGTTCCCTCTGTGCTCATATGAAGCGATGAGGTTCAGAGGAGCATTGGGGTGGGGGGGGGGGGGGGCTCAAGTCAGCACTGTGGGGCTCACTCCAGCCACAAAAGTATAGAAAGTGACACCCTGTCTCGGGCATCCCATCCCACGTTTTTGCGGCGAAGGTGCATTGCGAAAGACTGCCTGTGAGCTTTGGTGTGAAAAAACAAGCCGTGCGACGTCATCTTCTCGAAATAGGAGTTAAACGTAGCCAAAGTTGTCCGGTGCATTCGCGAGGAGCATTATTGACGTAGATAAGGCAGTAGTGATAGCCTTATTCCTCAGATAAAAACTGGGAGAATGGAGAAATAGATCGGTTGATATTTCGGCAGCATGCCCTTATGGAAACAATAGCAGAAGTTCATTGTTTCGATCAGCGCAAGTCAATAGACTTCTGCTATTGTTTCGATAAAGGCATGTTGCTGAAATATCAACCAATCTATTTCTCCATTCTCCTGGTTTTTCTCCGGGGAATAAGGCTATCACTACTGTCTTATCTATGTTAAATGTAGCTCCTTGCAATATGCAAAACGTGGTAACAGGACCTGACGGGACAGTCAATGTTGTGTTGAAAAATCTGAGCATTTTGTCACTGAAGTCCCTACAGTCGACTTAAAGCTTCATCCGGGGAGCCAATACATTTCCAGACTAATGGACGCAGTCAATAATTGTTGCCATTTTAAAAGCCGGTCAAGATGGTACGGACGCCTGTTATTACAGGCTCACCTCCCCGACGTCATGCGTCTGCAAGTTGTTTGAGAAGATGACTAGCGCAAGACATGCAAACAAACAACGAAATGTGGGATGCTCAATATGGTTTTAGGAAAAATCAGAGCACCCTGGGCCACCTGGTGGTTTTATGTGTGTTTTACAGCTACCAGTCATTTAATACAGTGATCAGATACAGTCATTTAAACGCCGGCAACATGTAACAGCTGTCGTCTTTGACATAGACAAAGCATTCGATACTGCATTACATGGTAATCTGATAGAGTTGCACCTGCGACTTGGCCCACGACCTCGTCCCACTTATGCGCCATATTGCTCTCTGCCTGTCTGAAGGAAAAATGGAAGCAATCTTGGGATCAGGTGATCAGAGACATCCATGGCAATGGGAGAATTAAGCTCAGGGTGGTAAAAGACTGGCTATCCTCACACCCGCAATAACAGCAAGGTGCAAGTCAGTTTTTCTCGCCTCCATATCGTCGTACCTACAACATACGGTTTTCTTCTGTCTGGCAGTCAAGCGCCATCGTGTCCCAGGTGCGATCACCCACTGTCAGTTGGTCACGTGCTCGTGCAGTGGCGCCACCTGTAAACTGAGCGCAGTGTTACTTCGGTGCATACGCTCCTTGCGTAGCGCGCTACGCGCTCACATCAATGGAATGAAGACCGGAGATATTTTTCCTATCTCACGCCTTCCCTATTTCTAGGTCTACCAGGACCTTTGTTCTCATTTAATTATCAGTCTTCTCTCCTTTCCCCGTCCTCTTTCCCGTCCCCAGCCCTTTTCCTGTCCCCAGTCCTCTTTTCTGCCCTCTGTCCAAGCTCTGTCGCGTCCTCTATGCAATTCTTTGATTTTTCCCCTTGTTGCTGATTGGGTTTTTTATGCGCCGACTGCTGAGGCCATATCACGCATTGGTTTGTCCTCGACCGTATTCTCTGTCCCGTCCTCTAGTATTACGCCTTGGTCAGTCCTCGAGCCTATTTATCCTCTGATTTGTCTTCTGCTATGTCGTCTGTGTTGTCCTCTGTTCCGTACGCGTCCCGCCTTCTGTTCTGGCCCGCCTCTTCGGTTCTGATTTGGTCTGCCCTGTCCTGAGTTGGACACGACACAGCGCGATTCCACCCTTAATGGAATCAAGAAAGTCAGATTTTGTATCTGGTCATGTTGTATGTTAGGTCGAGAAGTGCCTTCCTGCTATCGTGAGACTTACCTGTAACTGACAGACAGTGATTACGTCAGAGCCAGACGGTCAGCTTTGTAGGCTCAAAACACGTCTCCATTAGCGCTGATGTCCTTCTGCTGATACCAAAATATGTTCCGTAATGTAGGTGTTAGATGGAGCGTCATGCTTCTTTCCTCCTGAGCAAAACATCGTCCCAGGACTTCGTGCCTCGGCAGACCTCGGGTCGTGTTGTAGACATCGCAGCACATCAGGTCGTTACCACCGTCCATCACTCCATATAAAGGTGATTTCTTTCACTCCGGCTCCAGCCCAAATTACTCCGCCGCGAGGCGTTCTAGGATAGCAGCCGAATGAAATCGGGCGAAATCTTCGGCTGGCTGAGAACTGCCGCGTGTGGCAAATACGTGGCTACCCAGCAAGAGCCCAGGAGGGATCTTCCGGTTAAGACGCCGCAATCCATCTGGACAATTTTGAAATGAAAGCTCGCTGTGGCGACACGAACGGTCAGCTGTTCATTACGTCACATGATTTCCTTGTTTGTTGTGCCTGGCGCATAAGTCAAGACTGTAGATGTTAAAAACGTAGGTCGTAGGAGTCACTGCAGGAGAGGTGATGCCTTATTGTTGCGACAGTTCTTTGGCATTGCTGCAAGGCCACGGAGTGGCCACCTCTAGTCTGATTAGGCTCATTTAATTATTTTCATTTGTGGACTACCTCCAGGACGCTGACAGACGAGCATACGAACATAACTTTTAAGCATACGCTTTGTCGCGTATCACTAATGTTGCGTATACGTATCGCCAAAAGAGGTACTGATGCACATCAGTAAAGACCATGGAAGTTTTTGCATTATAGAAAATACCGGACATAAGTTGTTTTAATCATACCCCTTGCTGTGTTGCACTTATGCTGCATATTAGTACTGGCAGCAGGAGTAACGTCGCCTTAAAGTAAAGATTACAAAAGTTTTTGCCACCAAAGTGATGGCAGTTGACGGGTATAAGTTCCCCAAGTATGTCGTGTATCACTTCCACTATGCCATGCATATTCGATGACAGCAGAAGTAATACCGCATATAAATGAAGGCTGCAGACTTTTTGATGAAGAAGTAATGCCACGTATGAGTGAAGGCTGTAGAAGTTTTTGCAGTAGAACCAATGTCGTGTAGAGCTGATCCCGCCACGGTTCTGTCTGTCACGCTATTTGCGGTAGCACTTAGGTAACACTGTGACGCATCGCATAAGCACAAGTATGTAGTGTTACGTTTAGGATATCGGTAGTCTCTATTCACCAGTCACAGAAATATAGCTGCCAGAGCTGTCAAAATAAATGTATTTGAAATGCAATGTGAAATTGCTGTTATCGATGGAAGGTCGCTTAGCTGAGTTTCTAAAGTAGAGGCACGTCATAACAACATTAGACAACACAGTAGTAATAGCCTTATTCTTCGGAGAAAAAACCAGGAGAATGGAAATATGGATGCATTGATATTTTTGCAACATTCCTTTACCGAAGCAGTAGCAGAAATATTATTATCTTCAAGTCTTATGATTAGAAGCATTATATACTTCTGCTGTTGTTTCGATAAAGGCACGCTGCCGAAATATCAACCCATCTATATATCTATTCCCCTGGTTTTTCTCCGAGGAATCTGGCTATTACGACTGTGTTATCTGTGTGAAAAATGTTTCTCGCAAATGCACTTAATAACTTGCATAACGTTCTGCATATCGACTCATGTGAAGCTTCTTTTACTCTTAAGATGACGATTACAGAACGGTGGATCGCAGCTGAATCATGGTGACGCATTTGCTAATTTGTTCAGGTGTTTCATTACATTCACTTCTGTGTCGTAACATATTGAGACTTCGCACCAAAATGTGTAAAGTAGATTTGACACTCATAAACCAGCTGCCCCATGCAAGCAAGCGAGAATAAGAACAGCTACCAACATAATGTAGCAGCTGTCTCATAAATCTTGAAACATATGTAGCGTAGGCATAATCACCAAAAACTTCGGGGTCAGGCGAGGTCAGGTCAGGTCATGGCGATAACAGGCGTAACGTCAGAAGTAGCCGCGTCCTATCGCGAGGGGGGCGATCGAGGCGGCTCTAATGCGCCTCAGGGCATGCGCCGCCGCCGGGCTCTCCTTTTGAGCATGGACTGAAATGATCTCCAGCAATAGAATGGTAATCACGGCTTTCAAGTGCTAATTTACGGTGTGCAATGCTCTGAGTTATATATGGTGATGAGAGGGATTGCCAAGGATTGGCATTGTTCCCGAACAGCAATTGCGCTCCACGTGAAATCTCAATAACTTCATGTTCACAGGCTGTTGCAACCGGAATTTCTGCTGGAACCGAATGTGTCTACATTCCTTATTCTGGAATGAGGCACATGTCACTGCCCGCAGTTACCCAGCCGCGAGGTATTTACCTTTAAGCTCAGTGCTGACACTTTGTAACCACCTCGCACGTATCTTTATTAGAGGCTTGTGCTATCCGATAGGCGTATCAGGGGCTTGCTCGGGTTTTTGACTTGGGGGATGCTGTTTAGCCTAAGGTAGTGTGAAACGGTCGTGGGCGGCTTCTTGGCTTTCACTCAAGCATTCGAAAAAAGAGTCAGGGAGGCGTGGGGAGGAGGTCAACGAGGACCCCTAAGAAGACGGTGGAAAACGCCTAAAGGTATGCGATCTTTGTTCAGTTGTAGTGCTTTAACAATATATTTGACTATCAACCCTCACTCAGACGGACCTCGGATTCTCCCAAGATTCTACGGTGGGTCTGCTCCTGCCGGTACGTGAGAACACTTTTCTGACCTTATCCGGGACTCTTAATTAACAAGAGCCCCGGAGAACCATTTCGGCTTTGCCAGCTCATGCCATGAATGATGACATGAATGACGAGGGCTCCGGCCGTATGACCCTCCAAGGTTATCACAAGTAATGGTCATCCAGCGTACAGATGGACCCATGGTCATGGGGAGTCGGGACAAACGCGGGCGATGACTGAAAAAATCTCTGCTGTGGCGGATTGTCTCAGCCGGGTCTCTGGTCTCAGCCTGGATTGTCTCAGCTTGGTCAGCCGCGTCTCCGGGCAGAGCTCATCTGACGTCATTAGATGCAGAGAAAGCTAGACCACATAACGGCCGTTCAAAACTTTAGAGCGAAACAACATCGGAGCGAAAAGCGAGCAGAGATAGACCACAGCATGGGAGAGAGTGGGTATCACTGTTCTCAGCACAATGCAGTGCTCCAGACTGGAGGGCTCCGCTGCCGGTCCGTCCAGTAACATACAGGGCCGTCCATCGACGGCCGAGCTCATCCCCAAATTAGTGTCTCGCTGGTTTCTGTACCCGATCCTGACCATGATACAGATGCCAGCAAATGCCATCACACACTAGGCAGCCTCGACAACAGTAATGGGCTCGTGCCACTTTGGCGCGAATCATGCCTGTAGTTTGGCGCGAATCATGCCTGTAAACGGCGGCTGCATGGCTGCCCGCTCGGTATGTGGCAATGTCCAGTCTCCGCCGCCCTGTCTGCTCTGCTACGCTCCGCCGCCGGCGCCGCCCGACATTATTACTACACCGCGCGCGCGCTCGCGCCGGGCGGAAGACACAACATATGGCGAGACGTTACCGATTGCTCGCAGAAAACCGAAAGTGCCGGTCGGCGCGGCGCGGCTGAGGCAGTGGGGTGAGTCCGACGAGCTCGACCGCTCAGGTGCAGGACCGAGGCGGGAGCCGACGGTGGCGCGTGGTCCCCGGCGGCTGACCCCAGACCGTGGTCATGGCACAAACAGCGGTGAGTCACAACGGCCGGCCTCAGGACGGACTGATCCCAGCTGCGTGCACGCCTCTGGTTATTGTCCGCCCGCGCGCGAGACGACGTGGTTTCAGATGTTCCGCAGTGCTGATTGATTTTGCCAAATTGCGGTGTGTTCGAGTCCGGTGCCTGTGTTCGTTCTTAAAAGATGATACTCGCTGACACCTCGCTAACGAACTAGCAAACAAGATATTAAAACAGTCTGGAGAGGCGCTCGGTACCGCAGCGAATGAAGGGGCAACTTGTCTTCTGTGAGAAGCTTGAGATTGTGTGGCTGTCAAACATCCGGCATTTTTGCCCGAGACAAAGCCTGTCATCCACTGATAATCACATACGTGTTGTCAAAAAGGTACACAACAGTCAACGCGAGATCGGGGCGTTACTTTCATGTTTGCTGTACGAGCCGAACCGCCACTGAGTACAGAACCACACCGCGCACGTCCTCTATGAGGAAGCGATCGCAGTGCTACACGCTGCAGCACCGCGGTCGTGCTGCCGGCAATGTGTGGGACAGATGACTTAACATTGGCACTCAGTGTTTGGCAATGCCGTTTATCCGGATCCCACGTCCGTTATCAGATCAACAGGCCACCCGTCAGCACAGAGCTGTGCTGTGCTGTGTGAAAACGTGCCAATTCTGGTGCTTGTTGCTGAGTTTTGGTGCGTTTTTTTCCATGCACTACTGCCCTCAGTTTTGGTTTGGATGGGTTTATCGGTTCATCTGCTAAGGGATAGTCTGTGTGAGACATCAGGACGAGGAGGGAGAAATCTGCGTCATAACACATTTTATGCACATACCCTTATTACGCTGCAACCCAACTGAATACCAGCATGAGGGTTATGATGCCCGGGTTTTAATCTTCATGATGTACTTGTAACACAGGGCTTTGCGAAAAAGAAGACGTCTCTGGGTGTAGTCCGCAGCTAAAGCTCACACTATCCACGCCATCGCATGTGCGGAGTGCGCACTAGGGAATGACGTTGACAATGTGTAAAACCTATGAACAGGAGTGTAGTCTCCATTAACTTTGGATCCCCAACCCAGAGAGAAAATTGGCCCTAATCTGGAGAGAAATCCGTTTGTTGGCGTATTTTTTAGGGCATGTTTCTTCAATCTTCTCTGTTCAGCCCTCCGTCTTATTTTGCGAAACCGCACTGTTATCTCTGAAATAGTGCTTGCTGAGTGATATGAGATAACGATGGTCACCAAGGATACTTTCAAGAAAAAAAACTACGCGTGCAGATTGCACACACGTGCATAAATCTGGGAACTGATCCTTGAGTCAACAGGGCCAACATCATGCCCGGTAGCAGCTACGCGCCTTTGCAATTTACACGTCAGCAAATCATTGACCTCTGTACGTTTAGGAATGTTGTTGACTCGACCCTAAGTGTTTGAAATATTCTGGCCAGTTTCACCTGCTAGATCCGGAACATAGCATATAAACAACGAAAGTTTTATTTGACAATTGACGCACTAGTGACACAATGGCATGCACGGATACTACTCGTGTCATGGGAAGGTCAGTTCTGTTCAGATCACGTGGCTCTTCCGTAAGATCGAAGCTCAGTATGCGGTTCATGTGCAAGACACACAGCAAGGAGACAACGCCGATCGAGTAAGAGTGTTTTTATCATACATTAGAATCTGCACTGCACGCTGCATAAGTGCGTGCTTGCCTTTAAGTCAAGATCTTGTTGGATCAAGATCAAGCGTTGTGACGTATCGTGGTACGCGTACCGCGTCGATTTTTCATGCGGTCATATTATGGCATAAATCCACGATTGTAGATAGCAAAACTGCTGTTTTGTTTAACAGTTTGCAGGTGGATTAGCCACTTTTTGTCCGGAGTCGATTCATCTAACCGTGATATGAACGGCATATGTTATGATGTTCCGTGTGTTGTGATGGTTTGCAGTTTAATAGATCAATGAGTATATATCCGGCCCGCGATAAAGGTTCTGTAGTAGTCACCATCGATAAATATCAGCATAATAAACAACTGAATGTAGGGGTTAAAGATAGCTCAATCTATCATTGAACGGAGATAAAACAGATTTCTTAAGTCCATGAAAAGGTAAGAATTTCGTCAACAATGTGTACAGACAAGACTGCATAGGAAAGATCAGACGCGGCATATGGTGTTTTTGGTCAAACAACCAAACCACCAGATGCCAATCTCCAAGCCCACCTGATTTACACAAGGGGTTGGTCGCTCCTTCGGGTCATCGTGAGCGGTAGGAGCCATGTAGCAGAGCACCTAGCTGAACATACCAAACAGGACTGAGAGTTATGTCGGGAACCGAAGTTTATTGATCCTAGATATACCACACTTCTCTAAAAGCTCCAAAAATTACCACAACCAAACCGACCACGCCTCAGAATGAGTGTGTCCTGATCTTGTGTGAATGGATGTTAGTAGGCTTTCCCCAAGTGTGCCACTGCGAGGGAGGATTATGGCCTACCGAGCAGTCATCATAAATGAAATGGAAAACTCCCTGAAAACTATTCAGCTAGTTTTTGACGGCAATGTTAGTCTGGGCAGACACACGGAGCTGGGTGAAATTTTACTTGTGCATATTTGGGGCCACGGGAAACATAACCATACGAGAAATCAAATTATAAGCCCTTATTCTATTTCAGATGCATTGCTGACATTTCTGTAATGTTGTTGTATGTTCAGTAAGCATTGCATGGGCAACAACACCTTGCAAACAACGTCGACCGGAAAGCGTCCAACTTATTCCGAAACCGATAAGGAACTTTTGGACGTGATTGTCAGGCTACGAGACGGTCATATGAAATCGAATTATTATCCAAATCATGAAACAACAAAAGTTACCTTCATTTGTCATCAGGTCATTTATACCAGAAAGGCTGTGGATGTAGGACTGGAAATGTGTTTGAAAAGAATCTGTTGAGACAAAAGCGACAATAGTTGCCGTGCATAAAATACCAAAGCCAGACTTCAGAAACGGGAGTGCCTAGACAGAATCATTGATGTTAGCTGAAGACCGGTAGACTTTCGCGCGGATATCTTTTAGGTAACAGGAAACAGAGCGAGAACTCTACGCAGTTAACCAGGATCCCACTTATTTTAACGTAATCTAAAGAGTGAACAGCACCCCTTGGACCCCTCCATCCACCTTAAAAACGTACTTAAAAAACCAGCCCCTGATATCCCACCACGGGGGCAGTCTAAAGCACCAGCTGATACACAAAAAGAGCAAATAAAACATCGTGAGCGACTAAAGGAGGGGCAAGCAAGAGTGCGGAAAAAATTACGTCATCTGTCGGCGGGATCTGTCGAGGGCACAGCCTGTGAAAAGGATCTAAAACGTTATGTGTGTGTAATCGAAGATCAGATACATATATCATATAGTGCTGTAAATTTATATAATATATAACATATAATACATTCGTGTTTATTATGGTGGTCTTTATATGGCATCAGGGCAGTAGAACCAGATGTGATGTGATAACGGTGAAATTGTAGTCGAGAGCGTTGGGATTTCAGTCTTTCAGTCAACCAGGCTTTTGAGACGTTGTGCCAGCCACGCGGGTCCATAGCCAAAACTGTAGCAGCTTTCGACATAGATATATATATATATATATATATGTCTGTATATATATATATATACATATATATATATATAAGTACATCATATGTCAACTATGTCACTGTGTTACTGACGTCATAACACCACAAGAAATTTGTTCAGTGTTGAACGGGACCATTCTTACATGTGGGTTAAATGCCCCACGTTCTCTACGCGTCCTAGTGATAAATCAATTCATTCGGAATCCGGCCTGCGAGTGCTAGGAACTCATCGGACATAATCAGATGCTGGACCTCACCATAGTATCTGGCCTGGAGCTGTAGGTGTTCACGTTCCGCACGGCCCACGGTGTTGGCAGCGCAGTGGACGAGAGATGATGCACGTGCGCGGGTTCCAATGACCAGACTCGTCTCTCGACGCTGATAGTTGATATGCCCTGTCATCAGCGCGTCAGCGTTCTGCACGGTCTGTCGACCGAAGCGGCATCAGGGAAGCAGAAAGCCAGATAGAGTGGTACAGAGCTGAGACATTGTACTGAGAGTGCCGGGGGTTTCGGTCTTTCAGTTAACCCAGGCTCTTGAGAACGTTGTGTTGCCACGCGATTCCATAGCCGAAGAAGTACGGGCTTTCGACATGGAATCGGGTGAAGTTTTTTCAGTTGACAGATGGTATTTTCTCACAGCGACAGAAAGCTACTTCAGCATCCGTTTCATTATATTTACTTTACGGGTGATCGGGAGCGTGGGAGTTTGGTCGCTTTCGGTTGGGCGGAAAATCTAGCATTCCGTCAGGAATGTTGGTGTTCTTTTCTTCTCTGCCTCCACAACGTTGAAGGCCCCATCCACGTTGAATGGCGGGTAAAATAAATTGAATAGGACGGGCGTTGGTTGCCAAACTACTTTAACTTGGGCATTACGGTAAGCCTATAGTCACTCTGGCGACATACGTGCTACTCTTAGCACTTAAACGTTGCGCTATACATACAACAAGTTTCAGCTCATTTTCGCGAGGAAAACCCCGACCACTTCCTTTGAGTTATGGGGGGGTACCGAAATCCCATTTCTCCGACTACTTTGTTGGTTGTTTCATATATATATATATATATATATATATATATATATATATAATGCACTTTACGCATCTTCATGGCGGAGCCATGAAAGAGTTAGTGTTCGGGCTTTGGAGTTTATTGTAGAAACCCACTGTACCAATATACCATGTTATATGACCTGATCAAGTATCCCCATGTTTGACGTGTAATGTAAAGATGCAAATGTAAAGAATGTGGCGATAGGGTTTAACTGTGTATTCCTGCGCTGTAGCGGCTCACAAATTAACATGATGTGGTTATCGTTCCCACATGGCTTTGCAAAGCCTCATTTTGCAACTATTTTTACGGCCTAGCCATAATATGAGGATCTCTGAAACAAGGTGAGCATCTATACGGACGATTGCTGGTCCACATGTTCGCTATATTGAAGACGAGGCTCACAATATTACTGGCTTCTGTTCCAATCAACACTGTTATCTCTATTCTTGGTCTCTTAAACACGAGTCTTATTTTATTTATGTGCGCCCGAGGAACTCTGCTAATAACTCTCTCCGCTTACAATGCGTGAACAAGCTGACCGCACATTACCTGTCACGTAGAGTTTCCGCCATTAAGTGCCCCATTTGTGATCGGACGTCTCCCGCGAAACGACTGCTTTCTCGCAGCTGACACTCGATTCTTCATCAGCCCGCCG